TTGGAAGAGACATCTTGGTTCAGCATAACTATTTAGTTAGTTTGTTTTATATCCAGAAGAAGAAAAGAAGAAATAATGCACTTGCACTATATGATCTATATATCCCAAAAGAACCCCTAACATTGGGGCCATGAATTTCACAATTTTGTTAGAGGGCTCAATGCTTATTAATCATGCCAACAGTTTGACTGATTGATGTCCTAGAGTAAAGAATAAGATGTTTAAAGATTGCATTAAATTTGGTGTTTTAGCCCCAAGGGTGAGGGGACCATGAAATTCACAATTTATCTTCCCCCTTACCCATAGATGCTATATGCCAAAGATTGGTTGAAATTGGTTCAGCAGAAAAAGTGTTCATATGTTAACGCACGACGCAAAAGGGACGACGACAGACAAAAACGGATAGCAAAAGGTCACCTGAGTGACTCAGGTGACCTAATAAAAAGTCACTACAGAGTCTGCCACACCTGTTCGATATTTGGATTTTCACTGACAATAGATGATTAAGGCAAATTAGTAATACACTGTAGGACAAACAGGATGACTTCAGCTTTTCCATCCTCAACTTTTCTTATTTCGGTAGCAGTATTTCACTACCACCTGTATATAGTGTTTATGTCCCTCAACTGATTCAATACGCAAGGCCATGCTCCGAGTACCATCAATTTTTAAACCGATGCAAGCTACTAACAAATAGGTTGATGTTACTAGAAATTCAAAATCCCTGTTTAAAATCAACTGTGTATTATCATGACCTTGGTTGTAAATACAACCTGTTGTTGGGTCGTATTTTGTCTGACATGTTTCATACCCTTTGCTGGGTTATTGCTTCAATACTTAATTTGACCAAGTAACACTCCGACTATCCGATCAATATATAGGCCTAGTATTCAGTTTTGTGAACTGCTAACTGATGAATCGAAGTACAGGCAAAAAACATGTATGTAGTACATGACCCTTACCATTGCAGAGAAGTTGCTTAAATTGAAACCTTAACCTTTTTTTTTTTACAAAGACGGACGAATATCATCAAGCTTTAAACTGGATATTGCTCTGAGATCCGGCGAAAACAAATAAGCGTAAATAAGAGTTTTTAAAATAAGTATAGTGTTTTAGTGTTATGCTTAAGTCTCTCAATGTCTTACTCCCTGATATGATAAAGTTTGAGACCTTTCTGACTAGAACTTTGTGTATGAATATGAATTCTGTAGTCTAAGACATTATGATCAAAATAAAGGGCAAAAGATATTTTGATCGATCATCAAAGACTGCTACACGTGTTGTAAGTTTCAATTTTTATTAAATAATAAATCAAAATAAAATGAATGTTACAATGAGCTTTCACCCATAGTTGGACAACATTTCAATAAACAATTTCATTCTAAATTAAAAGTAACAATTTACGCGTTCAGAAAAAAAGTGCGGGGAGGGGGCAGGTGCCATGCTGTCCCATAACACCAACCCCCGACTTTATGTGCCTGAAAGTTATGTTTATCTAAGTGGAAGTCGAAAATGTTTGATAACTTTCCAAATATTTTTGTATAAATTTGAAATTTCCCTATCTATATTTAGTCCATTGAAGAAAAAATTAAATCCTTAGTTCAGGTGAGCATAACGTAGCATTTTTTAAAACAAAATTTGATCTCAACCAGTTAGAGAGATCGGAATAATTCAGTTTTGTAATAAAAATTTTTGACGAATTTATGTTTACGAGTTTTGAATTTTATTCCTCCTAGTACTGGGGCCACCTTGAAAAATTATTTGATTGCCCTCTCCCGACCGACTGCCTAAAAATGACCCGACTCAAAAATTTTTATAACCTCCTGAAATGATACTTTTTTTTCTTTTTATTCCTGAATTTTCTTATCCTGTCAATATGTATGTTGAAATTTTCTAGGAAAATTTTCCACCTACCTACCGACCGAATTTTTTTATACCCTGAGTCGGGAAAGGGCAAACAAACGTTATTTTAAAGATGGCCTGGGCCTTTAAATTTATTATAATATTTCTAAGATTTTCTTCATCTATATATAGGTATAAAACGATGTTCAATTTTTGGAAAAAGGCCTCTGAGCACTAAATCACTTATTTGATTGATGGCTTTGAACAAACATTCGGTCTTGATGGTTTATTGGTTAAACAAATAATGATGAATTTATTGCCGGAAATCATTATGTATCCATGTTAAAGGATTTATACTACATTAAATAATCATTTTGAACCGTGTTCTTCGTAGTTTCTCTACGTTCAAAATATAAATATGTATGAATCTCTTTTGTAGCTAGAAAAAAAAAACATTGCTGAAAATGTACTCATTTACAAATCATGCGAGCAAACAACCAAGAACAAAACTAATCTAAAAAACAAAAGCATTACGACACAACTTACATATAGGGCTTTCTTCTGAATTGTTTTTTTAAAAGTCAACGTTCCTTCCCCTTAAGAATCCCTAATACTGAAAATTTTTCTGTCCTACAACAAACTGCAGGTGATGCATCAAAAACTCGACGGATATAACTCAATTTTTATGGCTTCACTTTTCTAGAGACAGTATTTGTATTTTGATTTTCTTCTTTCTTTTTTTTTCAACGAACTGTTAACTATACCTAATTATAGTTTATTTAAATTGGATGGAATTCTTCCCCTTTCGATTATATCTTTCATTTGCAATCAACCTTAGATTTATAAATACCTTCATTACGTTGAATAGTAATGAAATTATTTACAATTGAATTTTGGTGACGTCACAGAACATCGAAAAAAATATAAAACTTTTTCCGAAATATATGCATATACGAATATGTAGGTCGAACCCGACCATAGCTGCAGAACTGTAGCTCTCTGCTTGAGAAAATTCGGACAGACAAAGCAGAGAGCTACAGATCCATGCATTGTAAAAACCTTCGATTTACGCCGCCGCTTTTTTGTCGCTCGCCTCGGGTATTATTTCTTGTATTTAATGCTTTCCCCTGCTTTAAAAGTGTATCCAATAATTATCCACATATTTTACTCCTATTCCTGATACTTTATTTACCTTTCAACGGTCTCGAACAGCCCTTTATGGTTTTGAAATGTCGGTTTAAAAAATTCCCGTTCCGACGTCCATGTTATTGGGGGTTGTGCGAAAAAAAGTAATTCAAAGAACATATACTTGTCAAGAAAATGTAAATAAAAATTTCAGGAGGTTTAAATATCATGTATATTGTCTATAAAGATTAGAATACAACATGTATGTAAAAAAGAAATGAGCTAAATAAAACTCGGGCGTGTTGTTTCAGGAGGACACCAACGTCGACGTCGGAATGCATTTTTTTAACTGATATTACGGCCGTTTGGAAGTGGAACTGTTGAAAGGTAAATAAAATGTCAGGAATAGGAGTAAAATATACGGATAATTATTAGATACACTTTTAAAGCAGGGGAAAACATTAAATACAAGAAATAATACCCGAAGCGAGCGACAAAAAAGCGGCGGCGTAAATCGAAGGTTTTTACAGCGCTTGGATCTGTAGTTCTCTGCTTCGTCTGTCCGAATTTTCTCAAGCAGAGAGCTACAGTTCTGCAGCTAACCCGACCAAAGTTTTCCCACTGTGCGAAGTTTTGCTCTTGCGACATTAAAACTATCTCTGGCACACGGCACTTATTCCTGTTTTCGGTTGCCTATAACATAGCAATTTCTTATATATGGCCACAAATTATCAGACCGTCGGACTACCGGACCGTCGAACTATCGGGCCGTCGGAGTACTGAGCGGTCACCCAAGTGTGACCGATCGACAGAAGATGCTAACTCTTCCTGGGTACCTGATCCCACCTCTGGTGTTTTCAAGGGTCCGTGTGTCTGCCCGGTTAATGATTTGTTTTGTTGATTGGATTTATGAGATTGATCACTGTTCGTTATCTTTACCTCTTACAGAAGATATTTTCATTTACAGTGATACCCTTAGATACCAAGAAACTTAACTGTAGATTTTTTATTTTGTATCCCTAACAAAAGTATACTTTATTTCATGAAATACGGAAATAACGAACAGTAATCAAGCTCAAAAGTCCATTGAAACAATACAAACTGAAGATAACTGAATATCGGAAAGATGGGGGGGGGGGTCATCATTAAATGTGATGTAATGTTCTCTGTTTCGGAAGTGTTCATATTCAATATTTAAAGAATGAACATTCGAAAAATGGAAAGGACATTTGATACATCTCTACTGGTTATTTTGAACAGAACATATTGTCAGATGTAAAAAATATTAAATACTGTTAAATATTTGTAGTATAATGATTGTATAGTAGACTTTTTATTTATATATATATATTGTATCATACAGGCAATTTAGGAAGTTCTTATGAAGTCTCTAACACATCATGTGAGTGCCCCCTGGGAAAATATGAGTGTCATCATGTTGCCTCTGCATTACTGTATGGGTAAGAGATGCATTTAACATATTTAGAATACAAAGTCTAATGACCAGATGATTCAAGATTATTTACATGTATTTCAATCATGAGCCAGAAGGCTGAAGTGATACTTTATTGGTAAACTATGAGACATAAATTCACAGATACAAATGTGTGAGCAAGACTGACATAAAGTGTGGGTGGTTGAAGAACCCAAAGACGTCAATTAAAAAAGACATAAAAACAATGGAAGAATTGTTTCCCCCTGCACGCCAAGATTACTGATATTTATATTTTAAACATTTTATTGTCAGTGAGGCAATATGTATTTTCTTTTAAATATAGTTATTCATATACTTGCAATTATTCATTACATATAATTTAAAAAAAAAAACATATCAATCATTAAAAATATATATCAATCATAAAACATTTGCTTCACATTTGAAGTGCTTTAAGCCGCCCCTTTGATGAAAGTGACCGGTGTTTTTTGCACCAAGAATTAGCAAAGCTTGGAAGGTTTATTGGTAAAATATAAGAATGAAATTATGATTTTGATGTTATTGTTGTTGTTATTTAAATTTGATTTGATTGCAATCTAATTAAAATTAGATGTTCCGAATCCGCTACCGCTTTTCAAACATCTAACAACATCCCATACGGGGTCACGTCAGAACGACCTTTCAGATGTGAATAAACATTTCAGAATTAGCCAATCAGATTCGAGTTTCTAAATCCGTGTCGGTTGAAGCTTACAACATGGCGTCCGAAGAAGTTCTGAAGATGTTCAATGTAAATAAACTGAAAAAAGAGCAGGAAGAGATACTTAAATGCATTCTGGACGGCAAGGACTGTTTAGCCGTGTTACCAACAGGCTATGGCAAGAGTCTGCCATATCAAATGGCCATTCCTCAACAGAGAGCGTTGGGAAAAGTGGCCCAGAAAATCATCGTATGCTGTCCCTTGATTGCCCTTATGAAAGACCAAGTAGAAAGGCTTTCCAAAATACCAAACATTCGGGCGATATACAGAGGTAATATAACATCTTTTTAAAACGTATGAATAGTAAATATGTTAATGAAGAGTAGTTAATATGTAACAGCAAATTTTGTGTTTCGACAGAGTAATGTTTATGAGTTATTGAAACTCATAATGCGGTACCCCCCAAAATTGAAATTGTATATCCGCTTCCTATTACAACTCATCAATACATAACTTTCTTTTTGTCCCTTTGAGGGTCCTTAATTAGTCATTAGAAGAATGAAATTGAAAAACACAAAAATAGCCAGCAGAGATGTAAAAGTGTTTTATATCTCTGTCAGCATTGATTATAACTTGTTCACTAAAGATATTGAAAAACCTGAATAAACTGTGCAAGCATAAATGAATGAAAACTTGATGTGATATTTAAAAAAGAATTTTTTTTTTTTAATTATTAGATGGTACCCAGGAAGCTGACCGCATTATTAAGGAAGGTGCATTTGATTACCTATTTGGGTCCCCAGAGTTGCTTGTTGGTGATAGCTCATTCAGAGACCAGTTGCATCAGTTTGGTGTATCAACTATTGTTGTTGATGAGTTTCACACCATTGCATGCTGGTGAGTATTTTCAATTGCTTTGTAATTTTTGAATGTATCCCAATATCAGTGTATCTTAATTGCTACTAAATAATTAGAATGTGCAATTTTTTCAGAATGAAATTATTATAAATTTTAATACAACAAATAAAGATTTTACACATTCAAGCTTTCAATTACATTGAATTTAGAGTTGTCACTATGGATACAAGCTAATGGCCCTTCTCATTTTTGTAACTATGAAGGACACAGTGCATAATGATATCAAGTAAAATCTGTTTAACACCCCCGAAAAAAACTATATCAGAATTTTTTATTTCTCATGTTTTTATGGGGCGAAAAGGATGATGAAGACAGAGATGCATTTAGGAAATGGTTCAGCTACCTAGGGGAACTACGTTCAATTTTCCCATCTGCATCAGTGTTGGCACTGAGTGCAACTTGCACACATAAAATCTCACGAAGAGTCCGCAAAGTGTTGAATTTGAAGGAAGACACAACTGAAATTAGATTATCACCTGACAAACCCAACATCAAACTTGCTGTGAAAAAAATTGCAAATTCTGTAGATTTAGGAATGGCCTGGATGATTGATGGATTAGACTCTTTTCCCAGAACAATTATATACTGCACCAGCATTCGGGATGCGTCCAAATTGTATCATTATTTAACTTCAGAAGTGCCGGATTGTGTATCATTCTGTGACATGTTTCATTCTGAGACACCAGATTCAAAGAAGAAAAAAATACTGGATGACCTTTGTAATGAAAATGGTTCCTTGAGAATTGTTATTGCGACCAGTGCCCTTGGAATGGGGATAGACATGGCAAGTGCAAATAATGTGATCTTATATGGAGCTCCAAAGCAATTAGTGGAGGTCATTCAGGAGATTGGTCGTGTAGGTCGGGATGGAACTCCAGCACTTGCCTTGCTCCTTTACAATTCTTACCATTTAAGAAAAGCGGAACAGGAAGTGAGGGATGTGTACATTTCACAAACTTGCAGGAGAAAGGTACTTTTGAAACCTTTTGTGAAGGAAAATGAACTTGGTCTAATATCACGAGATCCACACCACACATGTTGTGACAGATGTGTGTTATTGTGCAGATGTAATGACTGTCAGAAGGATGTTTTTCTTCTAGAGAAGATGTTAAAAGATGAACCACCAGCCTCAGAGAGTGACACGAACAGTGAATCTACCGAACTCTATGATGATGATGTCGAACTTTTAATGGAATCAGACATAGAACTTGAATAAGCAATTATGCATGCCTTTAAAGTTTGATTATTTCATCTCTTGAAATGTAATCTGTTTTTAATTTAAATTGCCATGTTAAAAATATTCAGTGATGTATGATTCTCCACACAGAGATGGTTCAGCAACAATTTGTCCAATTTAATGATTGTTAATGTTCACCTTCATGCGATTTGGAGTTGTTTCATCACATTCACTAGCAATTTAATAAATCTATACAATCCTTGTTTTCTACAACATTTAACCTCCTTGTTAATCACTAGAATGTGGAAAGATTGTAAGTGAAGTTAAGCAAGATCAAAAGATTCAATGTCTGACAAAAAACTAGTTCATATACAGTTTTCAAACTTTGAGACCTTAAACATAAAATCAAATTTATTAAGTACAGGTATCTGTATTTAATACTTTGTAATATAACTTGTGTATTAAACCTGTATGACCCCCACCCAAAATTAAACAATATAGACATTGAATTTTTGAAAGATCTCCCAAAGAACAGTTTTTATATATAAACTGACAATACACAGGCTTATTCCTAAGACATTTACTGATGTAATCCCCTGTTTACTTTGGTATTCCCTTTATCCCTTTGTTAAGGGAGGAACCTCCATTCTACTTTTTTAAATTTCCCCTGCTATTTTAATTCTTATGGACAACCCTGAATGCAAGTGTGTATTTTCATAATCATTCAACTTTTTAAGGAAGACTCAAAAGTAGACCACATTTCCATTTATTCGAAGCATTTATTAATAACTGCCAACACTGAAAGCCAACAATAGTATATTTTTCAAAAACAATCAACAATAAAAAGATTTTAGCATATATGTCAAGTTTTTACTGATATTCAATTGACCATTTTATAACGCGCACAAAGAAGACAAATGGACCGGGCCAGCATTATGCCTACTGTGTGAAAAATAGAAAAAAAAATTATATCACATGACAAAAATTTCTTTAATCACTACAATTTGCAGCAATCTAACTAAGATTGAAAAAAGTTATCAACAAAATAGCTTACACACATCAAAGTTGTCAAAAATGATCATTTCTTCATACTATTACACAATCTTTCCATATAAGTACAGTAGGTCTTCTCTCTCTTTTTCTTTTTTTTTTGGGGGGGGGGGGGGTTGAAAGATAATACTTAACATGCTTAGAGTATGTGCAAAATGTAGAATTTTTAAGTAACAAAATATAGAATAAAGACCTACCTCACCTTAAAAATATATTTTTATAATGTAACAATTGTATCTTTCTGAGAAATATTTAAGTCTATTTAGTCAAGGGACATATCACAAACGTGATTTAAATGCCTCTATTTGTCATCAGCTGTATAGAGTAGTACAAATTCACAAGCTGAAGATGACTTTTATACATTTGAAGTTATAGGCATTTTTAATAGCCTTGTTCACCCATCTCCTTCATACATCTATACACACAAGTTTAAAAAGAGTATTTTCAAATCAAAATGCATTAAGTTTGGCAATATATAAAATAACAACATGTAGTCTTATCCACATGAATCACCTACAACATAAGTGATAGGTAATACTCAATGAATATAGTAAGGATTTCAATGTATTCTGGCATGATTTTCATGTCTAGTACCACTACCAGTATTCATATGTGTGGGTCCCTCAAGCGCCTGAATGGAGCAGATGGTTTATGGCGATGGATCATGGTACAAAGTCCCTTGTATGCTGAGGAATAAAGATCTCGATCTGGATTTAAAGATTTGCAATCCAATCTCCGCTGGCGGTTTACTGTCAAGACATTCTGATCAGTCAATTCTTTAACAACCTTTAGAACATCTGTCTTGTATGACGGCAAATGATGAAATCCCTTTCTTTTCCTTATTCCACTTACTTCCTCAAAATGATCCTTGATATTCACTAAATGAGGATAATTTTTTGAGTTCTGCAGTATGCTGTTTTTTGTTTGATGCCCTGATGCAACAACTTTACTGTCCCTATTAAGCATTTCTAAATATTCATCTAATGAAATATTATTGTTTTTTCCACCTTGTACATTGACAAATCCGTTTGCAGTGAGTCGATTTTTCTGGTGTTCTGGAAGAATACCTGACGTAAGGGCTGTTAAATGAATAGACCCAATCATGTATTTTACCTTGTTGGTCAGGTTATATATTGGAAGCTCATATTTGGCTGAGCGCACGACTCTTTGTCCATCACCCATATCAATTCCAGAATCTAAATTTTTAAGTAAAAGTGTCAACCGAAATAACATAACTATGTACTCATTTACTTCGTCTTTGTCTCTTTTTCTTTGCTTAGGCTTTGGTTTTTCAATGTTGACGTCATGATATTTTTTTTCATGATATTGTAGGGTATTGCTGTACTTGTATGTCTTGTCACAGTGATGGCATTTGAAACGACCATCCTCTTACAGATTTGAGATCCAGTAATTATCGGGATGATCTGGATTTGAAATTATCTCCCTTAAATTTTCACAAATATCATCTGACTCTTCAAAAAACCATTTCTTCAATATCTGACTACTTATACCTTCTATCCATTCAGTCTTCTCTACATCTGTCTTGTCGTCAAAATCTTCTGGAATCTGAATTTCTTCATCAACACTTTCAGAATTCATTATTGCTAGGAACATTACTAAACAGATTGCATCCAAAATAACATAATATAACATCTTGTATGCTCGAAATGAATTGCACACTTTCCCCTTGACATTTCTCAAGTTTAAAAGATTACGGAAGTAGTAAGCAGTACATCTGTCTAAGCCGCTTTGGGAATTGTAAGTCAGTTTATGAATTGCCTGGAATATAAAAATAAAATATTTATGTACTTTAATACTTCTCCAATTCAATGAGAAGGTAAAAGAGTATTAAAAAAATTAAGAGAACTCAAGTTGGCAGAGTCTTAATCAATTTATCCAGTAAATAAGATATTAATATTTCATAAAATATTTTGCTAAAATATATGACATCTAATATTTCATAACTTGTGCATGTACAAAACCACTGTCAACCAAGGAACAGAAAACTACAATATCATACTGAATATTTTCTTTTAAAAAATTGTAATAGTTAACCGTGAGCACATGAATTCTGTGCAGACATCTTTTTTTTTTCATTAGCAACCATCATCAAGCAATGTTGACAGTTGTTCAAGTTCTATTGCACTGGAGAGTGTACTTTCATCATTCAGTGGGTAATTGTTTTTAACAAATGTTTAAAAAACAGATCCCATTAAATTACAAGTATAGAATTTTGAATCATGCATGTAAACAATTCTTACCTCTAAGAAGTTCATCATGCGATGGAAGTCTTCTATTTTTGATATGAACCCCTCTAATCTCTCCAATGGAGTATCAGCATTCTTCATTGCTTCCTGTGCTGATTGTACTCTTTCATCTGTCAAGCGATCTCCTGCAAAATGTAGTTTGAAAAATATTACTTAATATTAATTAAAATACATGTGCCCATTGATAATATTTATGTGTACATCTATTGCACAAAAATGCAAGTACATCTGTGTGATGCTGAATAAAATTATTAAACACAAGTTCCTTTTTACACTATATACATGTACATTCTGTACCTCCAAAAAACACTGCTTCTACAATTGTGTCATCTTTGCAAGGGACGTATAACTTTGACAAATCCTTCAAAAGATGAATCACATCTTGTGTCTTGTTTTCGTTACAGTCCCGTAGTCCTAAAGGATACTGAAAATAAATTTCAAAATTATATATTATATTTACTTAATATGATTATCATGATACCCGGAGAGGGCACACACTATATATTTATAGATCAAATGAACAGACTTAAATATCCCTCAAATAATTGTCCAGGGCTTCCAAAAGTTCATTCACACATTTTAAAAAATATGTGTACTAAAATGGACCCCCTTTTCATGAAATAAGATTTTAAATCAATCTGCAAAATTGATTACCTGTGAAGTTTTCTCCCCTGCATATCTTGAATATGTATGTTCCAAGTGTTTTGGGTACACTTTTACGAGAAGATCATTCATTTGGGGATGATTTTCTATAATGGATGTTGAGATAAGAAAGCACAACTCCTTCATAAGTTGCCTTTGCTCAGCCACCGATGGAATAAACTTTGAAGGTTCAATGTTATCAGTCTGGCTATCATGGTTTTCAGGGGCAAACACCACTCTGTCAAGAATTGCATACATATTGAATAAATGCAGTGATATTGTTTTTCTGTCAGATGTCCTGTAGGAAGGCAATATATCCTTGTCCCAATTATCCCCGATGATCTGATAAGTAGAATGTCCACCATTTGCCCAGGAATCCCTAGCCTTTAGGATATTGGTATCAAGAATATTCTGCCAGTTCACCAGCTTCCTGTGGAGAGTTGTGGGATGTACACTCAGTCCAATCTTGGACAACCTTTCAATATCCTGTTACATAATGTTAACAAAAATATTGAATTAGATTCATCACACTAAAATTTATCAGATGAGATTTGTTCTTTGACAACCTTCCAAATAAAGATAGTCATAAACATTCAATTTCATTGTAAACTCTGACCCCAAACATAAGTTAATTAGGGATGAGATTTTTTTTTATTTTTATAATCATGATAATACCTGTTTATCCACATTTAAGATACTTTATCCTTAGCGAACTACAAAGTCAGGATCATTATACATTTTAAAAATTCAGCCTAGAATTATAATTTAATTGAATGTTTAAAAGTATTACCCGTTCCGTACATCCACCATGTTTTAGAATGAAGCCAACAACATATTGTACCAAAGACATATCTTGGCTTCTACCATGCAATCCAATACAGGCTGTGAGAATTATATGCTGGTATGGTTTACTAGAAACACTAGGTGTCAAATCACAAACTGTAGCAGTGATAATAGACAGAAGAGCAGGGCAATGCTTCTGGAGGTATTCCTGAATGTGATCCCAGCTGAAGTTGAAGAAGTCCCCATAGTCTTTCTTCTGTAATGGACATCCAGATCCCCGCTTGCAGATGTTCACACTCTCTGATTTAACAATCTTTGCTGCTCCAGTTATAATGCACATTGGATTAGACAAACACATGGTTTCCACAATGGTACTATCAACATTTGTGCCACGAATCAATGCCTTGCAGATTTTCTGATGAGTCTCATTCTGTATAAGAGCAGTCTTCTTTCCACTTGGATAGTACACCGAAACCTATAAAGAATGATTAAAATTACAATCTGACAGTTGAAGTCAAATGACGGAATAACATACACATATAATTATAAACTGTGAGTCATCATGTCCAGTTATATTTCATAACAATTATAAAAAAAATCTTTAGTTTCAAATCAAGATATATAAAAATATGCTTATCATCCTTTGTATTTTGTATTTTAACATGTTTACATCATTTATCCAAAAATGAAGCAGAAATTGCCAGTCACAGAAATTTGTATCTTACATCAATTTTGTCCAGGAACTTTCCTTTGTTGAAAGTTGTCAAGTCTCAACAAACAAATAAAATCCTATAAAAAAAAAAATAATTCACATGCACAAATGTTGATTTTTGTCAACAGTCTACATAAAAATAAGGTAAACGACAACAAAACAAATAAATAAGCTCCTTTTGATAACTTTAAACTATATCTTACTAGAAATACCATAGAGTAAAATTAGTAATTTTTTTCTTTTGTTTAAAAAGACAGTTGATGTTTAATTAATGAATATTTCACACCTGGTCAGGTATAAATTTTGAAGCAATGGAGCTCATCAAGTCAACTGAACATGCAGTTTTGGCACAAGAGAACTTTGAACTCAAGGCAATCATGAACAAGTTATTTCTCTGCTTTTCATATACTTGTAAGTGTTCATGACTGGTTCTTAATATGTGTACAAAGTTTCAAGTACCTATAATTAGTAGGAATTCAACCTAATTTTTAAAGTTAGTCTTTAATACCAATAACAATGATTAATAACAATAATAATAAACAAATAATTTTCTTTTAAAAATCTAATAAATAACCTCCACAGATCCATCTAAAGGGGGTACTACTGGACTAAAGTCCAGAGATCTTTTAGATGACTTTTTAGGTTTATCTTCAATACCCATCGACAAGCCTATGTGATAACACATTTTGAAAATTACATATGATGAAAATAAAATATATTGCTGAGAATTTCCATCACTGAATCTCATTCAGATATCATTGAATGAAATAAAATAAACATCTTTTATTATTAATATTTTTATCCTTACAATAATGATACCTACCAAATATGCCCTCCATAGCTTTGACCTGTTGCATCTATTAAAAAAAATATACACATGTATTTGCAGAATACTGAGCTGTACACCCATATTGGCTATATACTTGGGAATTTAGCATTATCTCAAATAAAACTAATATGTTGTGAGGGTCAATGGAATGTACTAGAGGACAAAATATTTACAGGGACCTATAGTATATAGGTCCTACAGGTACCTATAGTATATAGGTCCCAGATATTTATAGATCTAAATTGGGAAATATTGAAATGATGTCATTCATTTACCTGAAGATGTTGTCTCTCATTTTGTCTCTGGCCAGTTATTTCCTTGAAAGGAGATATTTTAACAGGTGAAACGTATGTCACACTAGCAAGCATCTTCGCAGGTCTATTCTCTGTTTTACTTGCACCAGGGCTGCTCAACATCCGCTTCGTAATGTTTTTTCGCCGAGGAGAAGGCAGTTGCATCACCTGCGTTCGATACACAGACTCTACACCTTCTTTAAGTTTCTGTTTAGTAACACTGTTTTTCTCCTCTGCTTTTATAACTGCTTCAACTTGTCTAAAACACTTCCGACACACACCTGCATTAGATCTACTTGCACCTTCAAGTTCTATACTTACTTGGGTTACGTTTCGTATGCATTGGATTCTTTCTGCGTTTAATTTAAGCTTATTTTCATAATATTTATGTAAATTTTCCTTTCCGTCGGCTGTTTTCTCTAACACAAGAAAGGAAAACCCGCAAACAATGCACACATCACCCAATACACATGTTTTCCTCGGTGTATCCGCCATTTTTGCCCCACTTCTTAACTCCTCGGGCTTTTACATTATAAGGAGATAACGTAGAAAACCTCCGAACTACCAGCCAAAACTTGGGAAAGAGCGATTTCATTGGCTAATGAAAAGGTCGTTCTGACGTGACCCCGTATGGGATGTTGTTAGATGTTTGAGAAGCGGTAGCGGATTCGGAACATGTAATTTTAATTAGATTGATTTGATTGTTACATTAAGAGTGTTATGATATTGTTATTTTGATTCTGTCCGTTGGTTGATTTTCACTGTGTGAAAAGCAAGTAAATGTACAAATGTACAAAGATGAGGAGCATATTGTTGGCTTTGTATAATCTGTCCAATTTTTTAACCTACTAGGTAATAAATAAGAATCTTTGCATAATTGGACAGGTAATAACTATGATAGCATTTTTATATATACATTTTTTGAAAGGAATAAATTTCATTTAACTCTTTTCCCCCTGTTGCCACCATTTGACGCACTTGCCATTTCCCTAGAGTTTATAAAGATTATTTTTTTCATATTTTTGCAAATCGTCAGGTCATTCTTCTATTATTCTAATAGAATATGTGAGTATGAAACCCTGATTAATAAGTTAGTAAATGTTAATTGTACATTTGCACCAATTTTTCCTTGGCACATCCACACTAAGGATGCCACATGCAAAATTATATATAGGAACAATTCTGAACAAATATTGGCAAATGAGTTGTAATTTTAAAATGTAATGCATTCAAATAAAAAAAAAATTAGTGTTCACCAAAATTAAATGCATGATCTCTTAGATAATAATTACCTGGTATGTGCATGTGGATATTATTTTTGAGAATGAAACAAGTCTGGAAATTTTTCAGCATTAAAATGGATTCTTGAACCAGAGCCATGTGAGCCAGGCCCACCTGTTCCTGTCATTGAAGACCTGTTAACATCACCAGAGTATGTTCATTCTGATGCCCCTATGGTATGGTTAAGACATGCATTATCCCTATCAGAGGAAGCCATTAAAAGAACAGCATTAGCAACAATTGGGCAAAGAAACAACCCGATGTGGTCGATTGTAAGAAAATACCGAATAACAGCTTCCAACTTTTGTGCAGTTCTCAGTTCTAAGCAAAGACGGTAAGACATGTGTGATTCAATTTTTTTCAAAATAGACTTTCAAAGTACAGTTCAACTTTGTTATCTCAAACACGATATCTTAAATACCATGGGTATGTCAAAGTAATTTTGAAGTCCTAACCAGTTATTATAGACATATTTTATTCTCGATAAATCAATTAAATCCTTGTGTATCCCAAATCCTCGGATATCTCGAACTTTTTTCTTGGTCCCATTGAGTTCAAGATAATGACGTTTGACTGTAATGACTAGATATATAGATGCAGGGTAAATTATTTGATCAATAACCAAATAATCATATTTTCTTCTTCAGAATGACATTGTCACTGAAGAAACGGCTTATGTCGGCTTACAATCTGGAGTCCATCAAAGCTGTGGCATGGGGTATCACTCATGAAGATGATGCTTTGAGAAAGTATGAAAACGACTTTGATGCAGCTGTAGAGTAATCAGGTATACAGCAAAAAAATAATATTCCTTCCACCTCTCACAGAATGTTAAAATTCATTGTGTCAAAACAAATGATCCTAGTGACAAGTAGACAATCAAATACTGAAGTCTAATTGTAAAAAAAAAGTATTCAATTCATTTAGTGATCGATGTATAACAGAAAATTTGCTGGGAATGGAGATCTACTTAAAGTACCCCAGTACCACTCTGTACAAGCATATCGTTGTACTGTATTTGAAGTGGAAGGAATTATAAATGCTCAACTTAGACTTTGTGTGCATTACAATTATATTATGGTTTGCATTCAGTAGTATTACATTTTTTCTGAAAGAGATATGGTTGCATGAATCCGGAGTGTTGGGAGCTTCACCTGATGGCTTAGTTGTACGATCACCAACATGCAGTGTATTTTATCAAACTCCAGAAGCCAAAGATGCCATTCCTGATATTGTAGAGGTGAAGTGTCCATATACAGCATCGTCTTCAACAGTAGCAGATGCAGCACAAAATTTGAAGGATTTCTTCATAGGTAAATAATAATTTATAAGTTGGATTTAAAAATCTGTTTTGTTCATTACTTTAAAATTAAAAATCTAGATGAGTAAATGATCACAATGGATACATGTATTAATTTAAAAGTGCAACTGTTCAACATAGTATGAAGAGATGGAAAAGGGAGGGGATATGAATAGGCATAACACAACATTAAAAGAGTTTTTGATTTTTAGATATTAAACAAGATTCCCTGTGCCTGAAAACCAGTCACCCATACTATCATCAAATTCAAGGCCAGCTACATATATGTAATAAAACATGCTGCGACTTAACTGTGTGGACAAGAGTAGACTGCATTGTGATTAGAATATTAAAAGACATTGAATGGACTGCAAATGTTTCAAAGCTAGTAGATTTCTACTTTAACATTTTCATTCCAGCACTGATGGAAAACTAAGTTCTCATGTATTTTGACACTTGTTTCTGTATCTCTCGAATTTTCTCGCAGTGCAAAACGAGTAATTCATCTTAAATGTGTTGAAAATTCCAGTTATTCTTGTATGATGTGATATATCACAATTCATCAGAAAACTTCTGGCTTATAAGAGTATTTTAAATAGCAATGGTGTTTAATTTAATCATGTACTACAGATAAAAAAATAATAAAATTTATCATAATTTTATTAATGAATTGAAGATGTTATTCTCAATGTGGAAATGTAACATTTTTTATCATCGTTAGATAAATTGTTGAATGTAATACTAAGCTGTTGATTTGTGCTTTAAAGGTACATTTACTTGAAACTCAACAATTAAAATTTTAAGCAGACCCTCTTCCAAATTATATAGTAAAATATAGTTTTCATTCCCTGTAGTATTAAAACATACTACGAACTTGACTAAAATAATCATTGACATTGATAACAAATCAAAATTTGTTTATCCCTGGCACTTTGGTTTGAACATTTTTACTGTAGTGATGTATAATGTAACAGACTGTCAAAAACCAATGCAGATTTATAATATGTAATTTTTTAAGCAATTTCTTTCAAAAGTGGAGCTTGCAAGTTTACAAGACAAGAACAGAGTTGAAATATTTTTGTTGAGATTGGTCTGTAAGTAGATGGGATGTGACGAAGAATCTCATAGTTCTTTATCCTCTCGTTGGCTCTTTCCACATGAATGCGTGCTTTAGCAATCTTGTAACACAGTTGCTGCTTCTTGTTTGGTAAACTGGCCTCGTGTCGATAAAAAAGCTGGTATATTTAAACGGACACCTTGGGGCAACTGATCATGAATGGTGAAACCTTTGTCGGCCAAAATAAGGTCTCCACCTTTAAACTTTTGTAGGACTTGGTAGTGGCGTACAATAGCTACATCAGAAGTAGAACCTGGCCCCGGGGCCATAAAACTTAGACGAGCTCACTTTTGATCTTAATCTCACTTTTCCACTATATATTCCTTTTGTAAAAGTGAGACTGAGATCAAAAGTTAGCTCATCTAAGTTTTATGGCCCTGGAGCCAGGATACAGCTTAGAGCAAAATGTAAGTGCACCGTTGTGAGCCACGCAAGTCACTGCTTTAACAGTATGTCGACTTTTGTAGGTACTGTAGGCCATGGCCTGACTGTCCATATGTGTTGGGATGTCCTGAGTAGTTTCAATTGCATCCATGGAAGCTATAGCAGAGGAGAAATCCTCAAAAGATTTTGGCATAGACCCTGAAAACAAGTAGGAAAAAAATTAACCCAATGATTTGTAATTGTGTAAAAAAAAATGTGTTACAGTAAAACTTCCAAGTATACAAGAATTTTAAATGCATTAAATTTTTGAAAGTCATTATGATAAGTTTTAAAACAAACCTTTGCATTTAAGTTGACTTGGAAAACATTCATTGACTACGCCATCAGACAGCATCTCGTGTAGTGCATGAACAAGGGTATGGAAGATGTTCGAAATTGTTGATCGACTGACACAGAATCTATGGGCCAAGTCAATGTCCCGAAGATTGAGTTCTAACTTCATCAGTACAATAAGTAGTTGGTCCTCTGTTTCCATTGAAGGAGTCCAGCCATTATAGTAATCGAGTTCAAACCGTTGTAACAATCTGACTAAGATTTCGAATATGTCATACTGTAGGGATGTATATAAAAATATCTGAAAATAAATATATTTTACTGATTAAAATAAATCTAAGAACTTTAAAGATTGTAGATAAATTAGTTTCAAGTAATAACAATATCAGTCTCAGTCAGGTTTACTACCATCCACATTATGCATTCATTTAAAACTGGTAATTTGAGACAGAGAGATTGAAATTATCCCTAGTGGAAAAAATGATTATTGTAGAATGACCACACAATCTTAATTACAGGTAAAATGCCTTCAACTATCAAGCAAACTTAAAAATTGTGAACCTAAATTAAGAGTTCTGATAACTGTTATCATACAGTAAAACAAGGTTACAGCAAAATATGCTTTTGATGTTATTCACCCTCACAGTGAAATGATTTTTCTTTCCTATCATTTTAAATTATATATATTATGAACTCAACGGTAATAACAAAATATATTTACAATCAATCAAAGTTGTTCATCCCTCAATGGCACTTCGCAACAAGTTTAACTGAAATTGTTAGGAAATAGGAAACGATAATTGGAATTACTTCATGTACCTTCTCTTCACTGTCCTTAATATCGTGAATTGACATTGGCTTCCTATTACTAGACTCTAATCTTAGCGAATGTAATTCCTTTTCCAGGTGTTCTATTTCTGTTGAGAGACGCTGCATTTCTTGAGTACAGTTAAATGTGCAGGATGCTGAGTAGTTGTGCTCTAATATCAACTGAAAAAATGTAATTGGAAATATACTGTGAATCATGAGTAATTCAATCTACAGTTAAGAAAACTATTATATTATTAAAAATTATTGAAAATGTTTTTATGTTGGCCATTTGTCATCAGTGGTGTTTTAAAGGAGCTTTACCTTCTCTTGATCTTGACATTCTGTCACATGTGTAATCTGCAGCTGGTCCATCTGTGAAGATGATAGAGACTCCTCACTTCTGATTTTTTTCCTCCTTTAAGCTTGTAAGCTACTCTGTTGATACCCTATTTAAGATTTTTAGTAAAATATTCTCAATTAAATCCCACCCACCATCCAAAACAAAGATGTCATATTTTGAAAAATAATTTCACCTTTTGGTACATTCAGGATAAGAGAAATCCATAGCCTTTCCTTCATTCCATGCAAAATATGCAGGATCCCCCTCCTTCACACCATCCTTAAAATGGCAGGAGCAGATATGATCATTCTGATCCCCTGGTTGGCGATCAGCTCGTCTATAAATATTTTATACAAGGACTGAGTGAAGGAGAATTAAAAAGCAATACATGTACATATGATAATTTAGTGGCATGTTATTAATTATCAAATCATAGCCCAAATGACTAGTTATATTTTTTCCACTTTTTCAAATGTTATAAACTTGCAAATACAAGATAACCCTGTGCATAACATCACCAAAGGGAAGCAGTACTTGGTAGTAATAACATGATATAAAAGGTTATAAAAACAGCTGATAAACAAAAATGCGCTTCTGCTGCATATACAATAGATAAAGTATTCAAGCCTAGATTGTATGTTGTACTCTTCTGCAAATTATATAAAACTACAGAGGGCAGCAGAAATCAGCGCTGCAGGATTATAATACATTTATCCACTTCTGCAAACTGCAAAGTTTTTACAGAATATTCTCTTCATTATTCTTCTGCTATATTGATTACGATGAGATTTAACTTTTTAGCAAGTATGTATAAATATCTGACAATGCAGCATCGTGACATGTCGTCACAAGTACTTACAAATTTGGTCAATATCTCTACGTTTTCTGAGCTTTTTCCCTGTACACTGTAGCAGGCCGAAATATCTCGACCATGTTTAACACTCACGCATCTCGTGATTAATGCTTTAATAAACAAAACTACTGTATTTTTCTCACCTGCATAGTTTCCCCCACAACAATCGTTTCTTTCTGTCTGTGGGAAAGCGATAAAACTTGCAGCTGTTAGCCCCACTCCGGTGGTTGCATGCGAATGCAAAACATATCACCATTTTTGTTTGTCACCGGAAGTATTCAAATCTCGCGCGCTCTCGCTTACGAGCTTACAGTCCCTATACGGTGATACAAACAGAATTAATTCGAAGAATTGTGGTCCCCAACTTTCGGTGTTTTAGTAGTTAGGGTGCAATTTTTCATGGTATATATATTGTCTTATCTGTGTGTCTTGTCTTCTCCGTCCATCATACAGAAAACAAAGTAATTCGAAAGATCCTATCAAACATAATGCACATGTTAAAAATATATACATATATACGTATATATGCTCTAGTCTGGCTCTTCTGAAGCAAAAGTTACGACCAAAGTTTAAAATTTTTGATCAGTAGGTTCAACATCTAGGTCTAAGTCAGGGACATGAGGTCAACAAATATCGTCCCCTCAGAAAAGTGTTGTCACAGGTAATGTATAAATAAAATATAAATGGTCTTACTTCTTTCATTTAATAGAAAAAGATAATTACCAAAATTTTGAAACTGTAAATTAAATTTTAAAGTTTAGGTCACGAGGTCAAAAGCCATGACACATTTAGAAAGGTGATGTACATTCAAATATGAATTAACCCCATTCTCTCTCATTCAAAAGTTGTCACCAGTATTTAAATTATTGAAAGTTGGCCAACCTTCAAGTAGAGGTCACAGGTCAAAACTCTTCTGTCATTCAAAATTTATCACTTTTGAAAAATAGGTAACCCCAAGATCACGGGTTATAAAAACATGGAAAGAACTTGTCACGGGTAATGCACATGTACAAGTATATGTGAATATGTTAATTTAAAAAAAAAGTCAAATATCAAGGTCATGATATTAATAATCATAATATAGTTGAAGAAATATTGTCACACAGGTAATGCACATGTTAATTATGAAACCCTATCTTTTCCCGTTCAAACTTCAAGGATACGGGGTCAAAAATCGAAGTATATTTGGAAAATTTTTGTTATTGGTACTGCACATATGAAACACAAGTGCCTATCTTCATTCAAAAGTTATCACTAAGGTTAACGTTTATGTGACAGACAGATAGACACGAGTGAGATTTAATGTCCCCTTGCTTCCCCAAAAGTCGGGGGGATATTTATTTGGTTCCACGTGACACAACTTGTATGTGCATTAAATACATTTCTAGCAGATGTTTACTTTTAACATTGTTGACTCATTTTTTACTCTGAAGTTTAACTTGCTTTAACTGTTTCTTTTAGAAGGGGGGGGGGGTGTCACAACTTATTACGAAAGGAAAACTTTTCATGGGCAATTATATTTAAAGATAGATTTAACGAAAACAGATTTCTTCTCACGAGACATTTAATGTTTATCACGAGACATTTAATATTTGTTATATAAAAGTCTTATTTTGTTTATAATAAGTAACTAGACGGCGAGATTGCTATTTTATTTTACGTAAGGTAGTACTGTTTCATAACCTCACAACATGGAGCTTAAGCAAGCATGATGATCAAGTACGTACGGGTTATTTTCTAGAATATTACTCCTTCTGTAAAATACATACAGTATATACGTTTCTTATCATGCTACTCTCTTACAAACTTATTGCTCTACTAGTATTGAATGAGTATTGAATGAACTCATAATCTAACCGACTTGTACACTGTAACTTAAACAACTCGGAGCCAAGACGATGATCCAATAGTTAATTATTTCAAAGACACACAAGTCCAAAGCTTGTTTCACTTATCCGGAGATTCCCCATTCAACGTTTTTGCATTCATATCTACTTAACAGAGAACTTCAGTCCGAATGCATTTCATGTGACTGTTCATTAACTATAAACCATATTTCATCAGAATGCAATGATTTTACAGCTATACGAAGTAGATTTTTTAATACTATACAATCAATGAAAGATCTTTTACAAACGTAAGTGGTTGTACATAAAAACGTATTCTTATACAGTACGATTAAGATGTTATTTAGTCATGTTTATTGAGTAGTTTGTTTGAAATCATATTCAGACAATACAATTTTGACTGTTTCTACAGTCATCGAACGATACGTCAAATGGCGCCTCGTTTCAATTAAGAGATGGCTCACTGGGGCTGCAAAAAAAGTCGAAAACTTTCAAAACTGGTCAGACAACATTGGCTTGTGTTACCAACGATATATGGTTGAAATACTACCGACGGCGTAAAACATTGTACAATAAATCAATTACATAATTACTTCATTCACCTGGTAGTTTAATGCACAACTTTGAATAAAAGCCAAAAAGGTTCAGCAGGAATGCCACACTAATGGTACAGTATTCTGGGAACAAGGCTTACGGGAAATTGAGGTAAATGGGACACTTTTCATAAAAATTCCAAACTTCTCAAAAATAAGGTGTAAAATTTTCATATTTCGCATAAGCATTGCAATGTTGTATTTTGGTGTTAGATAACCGTAGAGCAAGTTTTGTTTCGTTTTCATACGATAAAAATAAACAAACATCTTATATCTTGTTCACATTGACCCAGTTACCCCTATATGTTGTGGTAACTTGGACAATTCTTCAACAAAATTGCGCGATAGATATTTTTGATAGGACTGAACAGGGACGTAGCATCGTTTTTGAAAGGGGGGAGGGGGTGCGCCAGAGAGAAAAAAAATTCAATTAACCTGAAAAAAACGAAACAAGCAAAACTCGAAATTCCTGTTTCGGGGGGAGGGGGGTAGTTCCAACCGGCCTTTCAATTTTCAATTAACATTTCAAATAGTAAAGAAAGTCTGGAAAAAAGTGGGGGAGCCAGCCCCCCCCCCCCCTTTGTTGCTACATGCCTGTGAAGCAAACTTTAAAATTTACTTTTTAAACAATTAAACAGCCAAATAGCATTTTCAAAGATGATAAATGCTTAGCCCAATCAGCTCAGCTAGGGAATATTACTAAAATATTGCAAATTTAGTAGTTTCATTCTCTTCAGCTAGCCAATTTTCACAATCCACAAGATTTCATCACAAAAACTGAAGAAAAATCTCCATTTAATTATGCACAAATTATTTTTCAGATAAAATTACTTTATTAAAAATAATAATGTGTAAACCTCCATTGAACAAACATCCAGCTCATTTTAAAGCAACAATATTTAATTCTTAAGGAGACCGTAACAGATGTTCCCCAAACGCTTCCCTACCCCTGCACATGATTTTTACTTTTACTTTTAACATTGTTGACTCATTTTTTACTCTGAAGTTTAACTTGTTTTAACTGTTTCTTTTAGGGGGGGGGGGGGGGGGGGGGGGGTGTCACAACTTATTACGAAAGGAAAACTTTGCATGGGCAACTAATTATTTAAAGATAGATTTAACGAAAACAGATTTCTTCTCACGAGACATTTAATGTTTATCACGAGACATTTAATATTTGTTATATAAAAGTCTTATTTTGTTTATAATAAGTAACTAGACGGCGAGATTGCTATTTTATTTTACGTAAGGTAGTACTGTTTCATAACCTCACAACATGGAGCTTAAGCAAGCATGATGATCAAGTACGTACGGGTTATTTTCTAGAATATTACTCCTTCTGTAAAATACATACAGTATATACGTTTCTTATCATGCTACTCTCTTACAAACTTATTGCTCTACTAGTATTGAATGAGTATTGAATGAACTCATAATCTAACCGACTTGTACACTGTAACTTAAACAACTCGGAGCCAAGACGATGATCCAATAGTTAATTATTTCAAAGACACACAAGTCCAAAGCTTGTTTCACTTATCCGGAGATTCCCCATTCAACGTTTTTGCATTCATATCTACTTAACAGAGAACTTCAGTCCGAATGCATTTCATGTGACTGTTCATTAACTATAAACCATATTTCATCAGAATGCAATGATTTTACAGCTATACGAAGTAGATTTTTTAATACTATACAATCAATGAAAGATCTTTTACAAACGTAAGTGGTTGTACATAAAAACGTATTCTTATACAGTACGATTAAGATGTTATTTAAT